CAGAATAAAAAAAATATTTTTTTGAAAGATTTGGTATTCTGACCCTTGAAATATATAGGGAGGAGGAGGTTGCCAAAATCTCGAAAATATTGTCCCAATAACTTATACAGGAGAGTGATTAAAAGTCTTGAACACTTTCTCTTTTTGCCGTAAGTTTTTATTTTTTAAAAAATATAGGTATTCCGCAATAATATTTTTCTTTAAAACTAGAAAAAATTGAGAACAATAGTGACCAAGAGCAATGCTATGCTTCCCAGTGTCTTTATTAGAGCCAGGTTAAGTAGCAAAATGTAAAGATAGTATTTTTCAAGAAATTTGAAATAATTTCCAAAACGAAAGGCTCCAAACTTTGGAGTTGTGCAAATTATACGAGCTTCATGAATTAAGGATTATGGTGCTTATTTTCAATGCTAACATTTAGATAAGATTTGTATTATGATATAAATTTACACACAGTCAGATTTCAAAACGTTGAAAAAAATCTTTACTAGTTCGATTAACAACAAATATATTTAATAGCAAGGCAAATTTTTATAAGTAACTTACAATAATTTGCCTTGCTATTAAATATATTTGTTAACTTTTAACTTAGTTAAAAGCAACATCAATCGCATTCATAAATACATTTAAAAAAAAATTAAACATATAAGCTAAAAAGGAAAAAAAATTTAAATAAAAAATTGAACAAAAATTTTATAGAAAACATAAAATATGAGGAAATTTATTAGTTCACTTATCAGTTATAGCTCTTAACATTTATGAGCCATTATTAAACATTAAATACACTTGTAAATTACAAATGAAATATGACACACATGATCAACACAACTACTGTAAATGTCTTCATGAATAAGGTCAATCAAAAAGATCCCTTTTCATTTTTCCAATGTCTTCATATTAACGAAAAATCAATTAGCAACAGATTAATTTTATAATTTAATTGACAAATGCACAGTTCTCCTTAGGAACAAAAAAGGGCAAGGTACTTCCTCACAAGAAAGAACACTCACTTAACACCGTTAAAAATTATCAAATGTGTAATATTATGTCATAACTGAATTTGATCTTCAACAATTTTTAAATCACTTATACTATTTTACATGAGAATTTCTTAGTAATTCTCACTCATTATCAAAATAAGAGAAAAAATTTTTGTTTATAGAAAGTAATTAAAGAAATCCCTAGAGACAATCACTGAGCACATTTTTTTTAAATAAATAAACTAAAATTATTAATTGATAAACAACTTGAAAGCTTTATTTTATAATTTAAACTGAAAATTAAAAGGCAATGAACATTTAAAGTTGGATTTTCTTAAAAAAAAAGGTATTAATTTATTTAAAAAATAATTTTAGAATTTAAAAATCACTTAAAAATTCATAACCGAGTATACATAAATATACAGTATTAATATATATCCCCCCCACCAAAAAAAGAAAAGAAAAAGAAACTCATAAAAATTTAACCAGTAGAGAATAATACTAACAAAATAAATACTTGTAATAGTAGTTAGAATTAAACCTAAACAGATAATTTTTACCAGTGTAATTATAATTAAAACAATGAATTAATTTTTTTAAATGGAATATGAATAAAAAGGCAGTGTTTTTAAGGAATGGTAGCTTACTTCTACAAAAAAGGCAGGCAGGGAGAACACTGTGAATGTAAATGATTTTTGTAAATGATCAGTTTACGTAAATCACATAAATACCTCCAAAAAATGTAAATGGAATGGGCATACAAAGATAATATTTACATAAATTTACCAAAAAACAATTATAACAAAGATTAAAGATGCTTAACAGGTAATTTGTTCAAAAATAAAGAAACAATTTATTAAGCATAAAAAGAAGTTCAATTGTAACAATACAGATTTAATTTACCTATTTTATCTCAAATAACTAGACATTTGAGAATTTGAGGAGTCACCGTAACACATTAACAACTCTTAAGATTGTAAATATTAAATTTTATTACTCACCTATGTTTCACAAAAGATTAAGTTATTTCCCTGAATCATTATAATTTTGTTTGACATAATTAAAGAAAATACAAAAACAAGCATTTTTTTTTTTTTTTTTTAATTTGTAGTCTATGATTCAAACCTAGACTTTAAGTAATCTAGCATTAAAAGATCTGAACATACAAATAGCAACACTTTTCATCATGTTTTATTTAATGACAACACACTTCGATTTTCATTATAAAAAATAAATGCTCCATGTAACAAAATAATTACATTTGAAAAAAAAAATACACTCACCTACAAATGGTAACTTCAGGCAAATGGGTAGAGACAAAACAATACAACTCCAAGCTTAAATATATGAGAGTACACAAATTTACAACACTAACTGAAACACATGCGGACTGATCTAGTGTTTGTTTATTATGTGACAAAATAAAATAAAAAAGTAAATAGTAAATTCTGTGTGTGATAAATAAAAATATCATCCAGGCAAAATATAAACATTTATATGTCATTTGTACTAAGCAATCATATACATAGCTGCCAACTTCGATAAGAAAAAATCCTGTAGATTTTACAAAATAATATAAATTTCATGATTCTATATAAATTTCCTGATATGATTTTATGATATTTCACTCCAATATGTATAAAAACACTGATTAACAAAAGAAAAGCATTTTTTTAAAATAAAAATTTGTTCTATTTGGGGCTAAGTATATTATTTCCACAAGCAGTCAAAACCATGAGCAAAATTCTCTATTTTGAAGAGGAATGTTCTAAAATTATGAGAAAAATCAGAGCTGGCAGCAATGCATAATGTTAATATCAAAAATATCAGCAAACAGCTGACAATTTTCAACTGTATTAAGTTAAATGGCAGTAATATTTATTTGTGTATAAAAGTATATTAAAAAAAAAACAGGAACAGTCAAACTAAGTATGAGCAAATTGTTGGGTGAAGAGCCTATATAGGGGTGCACAACCTGCAGCCCACCGACCGTCGATGTGTGGCCAATGGAAGCTTCTGAACACAATGATTTAAAAAAAAAAAAACGAAGAAAAAATCAAACAAAGAAGCTCTTNGTCCTTTCAACTGGCTCTCTTCAATCTAGTTACTTTTTGATGAAAAAATTTTTAAGAAACCCCACTAAGGTGATATATGTTCTTAGCTGACCAATGGGAAAATAATTTTATAATTCAAGCGTCACTGGATCTTATTTTTATTGCTTCAGGATTGCTTTTTTGTGGATGGTCAAGGTCAAAGTTATGGGTAAGAAATTTAACATTTTCAGCTTCGCCTAATTTTGAATTTGTTTAATAAACTAATTTTGTTTTGTTAAAATAACTATAATCCCCCTTAAAATTATCAAGATTTACTTTGCTTTTAGAGTTAGTGCTAGAAAAAATATTCACTTCAAAGATTTAAATACTTTTAAGAACTAAGATATATTAATCTAACGTTTAAAGAGTTTACGATTATCATCGAAGATGTAAAGTTGCAAAATTACCGTCGTTTTAACATTTCCCTACTATTTTGTATAGATTATCCGTAGGCTAAGACAAAACCATTAATGTGTGCCTGACCATCAGACCACCGAGTCTCGAGGGTTAAAATACAAACGTTTTTAAATGATTGTTTTACAATTCACAGACAAATTGCACAAATGGGTGAAAATCATTTATGTTTTGTTAATGAAAAAAAAAATTGGCTTGCCACATTTTTGAAAGTTTAAAACATTTAAAATAAGTTAATATTTTCAAATATTATTCAAATTTGACAGATTTGATTAAAGATCTTGACAAATTTTAAAATATTAAATTTGACAAAATTATTCCGAAAAAGTTGTTAAAAAAAGTGATTTATATATCTTTCAGTAAAAATATAAATTTTATTCACAGAGTGGATCAACAAAACTTTTAAGAAAATTAAAAAAAAATTACATTTTGAAAAAGAAAGCAATAATAATTATCTATATTTTGGAAAAAATGCTTGTTAAAGTCAATGAAAATGAATCTATTTATTTAATTTTTATAAGCAATATTTTAATCAATCATAATGAGTACATTTCAAAATAATTTCAATAATTTATTATTACAAAAACCCATTTTTTAAACAAAAATTAAATTTATTTTTGTTGTTTAAGTTTTAAATTATAAAATTTATGCTCAGTTTAATTAAAATATAAATAGCATTATAAAAATACTCTAGAGTTTCATCATTTTTTTGATTTTGAATAAAAATTGTTTTTTCTCCTTTATCAAATTTTACCATACCCCATTTAGTTCATCTTATGAATAAATTTAAAAATAAAAATTTGTCTTCATTATGCTTAGATTAGCAGAAAATTAACAACAAATTAAAAATTATATTCATTTTTTAAGCTTTTATAGAAACAAAATATAATTTCTATTTTAACGGATTTCAAGGGATTACCTACACCTGAATACAAATTTTTATTTTTTTACTTATTTCTTTAAACAAAAATTATAATGTTATTAAATTTTTTCAACAATTTATGACGAAGGCGAGAAATTTGTTCAACAACTACCACAAATTCCGAAAGCAAAAACAAAAATTTCTAAGAATTTGGTAGTTTTTAGGATTAATATCATTCAAAACTCCTTTTTATATGCAAAAATTGAATTTTGATTTCTGGATACTTTCCATGCTTGCTATTTCAATGTATTTTGCAACATTTTCCTGCATTTTAAATTTTATGCATTTAAATTTAAAAAATATTTTTCTCACATTTTTTGATGAAATTTAAGGTCACTTTATATTTTAAATTTCCACAAAACATACTTTAAAATCGCGAAATTTTTAATTTTGTATTTTTTGCTCGTTACTTTTGCTTGAAGTACTTCTACTTTTATTTGTTACTTTTTAAAAGTAACGTTCGCACGCATGATTATTTTTACAGAATTCAGCACAGTTTTAAAAAATCTGATATTTTTAATATTATATTATAATGCGTGAATATTGAGTTTAAGTAATCATTTTCCGACCTGTTTTATTTTTGCCGATTTCATCATAAATCCAAGAGACATTTTGACGCAGAACATTTAGTTTTTTTTTCTTGCTTTTTATAACTACCAACTTCCATGTATATTACGACTTGTGAGTTATAAATTGCCTTGAATTGATTACTTTTTGATGTGCTTTATTTATGTCCATTTCATTGTAAATCTATGTGTCTAATTTATCATCTTTTTTTTATATCTATAATCTCTTTTTTTAAGGGTACTTATTGTTATGCTTTGCCATGTGATTTTAAAAATCCTGTATTTTTACTGTGATATTATTATGACACGAGAGTTTTAAATTGCACATTTAAATAATAACTTTTTGACGGACTTTGCGAATTTCATTGCAAATCCAAGATATTTTCAATAATTTTTTCAACAATTTTGAGATGCATTACAATGCGGTTTTAAAAGCTGCTAGTTTTATTACAACATGCAAATTATGAATCAGGCAATTCAATTATTACATGCTAATGCATTTTATTTGTGCTGATTTCATCCCAAAGTTAAGCATTTTTTTTCAATTATTGCGCTGCTTCCCCATGTGATTTTGACGATCCCGTTACATTACTACAATGTTATTACAACACGAGAGTCTCTAATAACACATTTAAACAATCACTTTTTTATACTATTTATTTGTGCATATTTCATGGTAAAGATAAGTTATTTTCCTGTCATTTTTTCTGCAGTTAGCGTCATGCATTTTTATGTGGTATTTAGAATCCTGAATTATATTACAAGCATTTATGTAAAAATTATGACATTTGCCACCAACATGACTAAATATATGTGTGGCCCTTCACTTAAAAAGGTTGTGCACCCCTAGCCTATAAGTTTGGCACAGTAATACAATTTACAAGACAGTATCAAAAATATGAGATCACAAGAAATATAAAAACTATTTTGTTAACTATTTAACCTTTATAATCACAGGTTTATCACAGATGGTAGCAAAATTTATAACAAGGAGAGAAAATTATACTATTCAGCTTTTAATAATTTTAGAGGCTGAATCTTCTGATTGACTGAGTTTTCTTTTGCCAGAGCCCAAAAATCTGTCAAGAGTTTCTTTTTCGTTTTTTACCAAATCTTCATCAAGAGCTCTAGAATATTCATAACAAGAACAAATTTTAAAGCTTAAATAAAATACTGAACAAAAATTTACATCCAATCTAAATATAACTTTCATCACTATATTGCTCTTGTTTGAAAAAGGTTTCACAATTTTAATCAATAGAGAATTATCATTACAAGAAGATCATTACAATTATTAATTGCTAATTGTGGTTGTACTTCATGTTCACACTCACTTCATAAAAAATATTTGTAAATTCAAACATAAAAAAAAAATATATATATATATTTAGAAGACAATATTTTGGATTAAAAACTAATTTTTATAAAACTAACAAATATGTTAGGTTCACATAAGTATGGCGAAAACTGTCGTAAAAAATGTTAACAAATCATATGCATAGGCGACTAATTTGAGAAATATTAGTGTAAAATCTTTATGAATGGAATCATTATGAATCAAATGGGTCAAAATAAATATTGTATTAAAAATACCAGGACTTAAAAAATCAAGAGGAAATTTCAAGAGGCTGAAAAATCTAATGTATTCGAATGATATTACGAATGAAGTATGTTGAAAAAGCAATTGCAAAATGACGCGGGATTGGAGAATGCGAAGAATATTTTAAAATCGAATTATTGTGCATTTCATTGCATAAATATGCACAATAATTGATATTCAGCCTAAAATATGTATATCTTGTGTACTTGTACAAATTTTTTTTTCTCCAAAGAAAACTATATAGTGTTAAATTTGAAGCTAATACAAAATTAAATGTTCACAACAACCTAGTTTCTTTTCATAGACTCTGTAGTGACGGTACATAAAGATCTTTTACCTTCTATAATGAGTGGTGATTATATTAATTACCTAAATAACAAGTGAACACTTTTATGGAAAAAGAATTTCACCTAGGATTTTTCACCCCATTCTTAGAAATGCAACATGCAGTTTTTCACACATTACGTAATTCTTTTCTTTCCATAAAATATTGCTATTGCAATCATAAGGAATTTCATTAATTTATATAATGTTAAATTTTTATTATAATTCTTACAAATCAGTGAAGTGAACTAGTTGCTATTTAATCATAAATATGAACTATAGAATCTTCTATGAAGTATAGAATCTTGGTTACCATCATTTAGGGGACATAACATGAGTTACTTTAATTTCTCCCACGGGTATCATATTTTAATAACATATTAACCACATTTTTATAATTTTTAAACTTATTATGGAGGAAGAAATGACCGTTCAATATTAAAAAGTAAAGAGATGAGTGGCATTATATTGATAGTATCTCATTGGTTCAAGAGAAATTTTTTTTAAGTGCTTCCAAATAATTTTTTTTGCGATCTTTGTTGCTAAAATAATAAAAATGGATAATACTCAATTATATACTTCAAAAAGAAATCACTATTGCACAAAAAAAAAAAGAAAAAAAAGAAAAAAGATAGAATTAGAATGCCTTACTGGAGCAGAAGTTCAACACAAGGCTCAATTTGCTGGTATTTATAAAGTGTGACACTCTGCAGTGTCTCAGGCCAAACAGGTCTTATTAACAAACAACGCCTTGTAGAAGCTATGCAAGCTGCAGCCACTAATGAAGGATAGAACTGCAAATACTCAGTCTCTAAGAAAATAGAATAAATACATGCATGTAATGAGTCAAAGACAGAAATTTTATTTAATGTACATTTAAAATTCATAATTTTATTATAATCGGAGGCTTTTCAAATTACCAAAATACAGACCTGTTTAGTATACACGAATGTGGAGAAAACTTGGCACCAGTGAGGAAATTTTTTTTCTATTATTAAAAAAGAAAAATTCCGCCTTTTCAAAGAAAGCTTGTCTTTTTCGATTCAGGAGAAAAAAATGCTAACATATAAGAATTAAAAAAAAATTTTTTTTTAATGATGATATTAATTTAAATAATGATGATAAAAATAAATATGGCTACATTAAAGGTAAATTTAAATCAAAAGAGATTGTGCATTTATTAATTTTAAACAGACACTTAGGGCCTTGCTTAGCGGTGGGCAAACTGGGCGATATATGGTTATATTACAGGATAATAGTTATATTACAAGTTTTTCTTTACATTTACTAAATCTTTGATATATTCTTACTATTCCTTGGTTATATAATATATAAGAGTAATTATAATTTATATATATTTCCAAACGTGCCTAATTTCATTTCATTTAATATTTCTGTGTATCAGGAGTAATTTTTAAAATAACAAAATGGAAGTTTTTGCCAACTTCTATTTCATCATAGTTAATTGTGATAAATATTTCAACTATTACCAATTTGTGAGAGTGGAGAGATATCCTGAAGAACAACTGCAGAAGATGTTGAAAAAAAAAACAGTGTTAGCATGATATTTAAAAATAGTAAATTAAAAATTTTTTTATTGATTTGAATCAATTGATATTTTTTAAGTCATAGATTTATTCAAAGATTATTATTTATACAGTACTGCATTATCTAATATGCATATATCTAAGGTGCCCGACTACTTTTTTTTAAAAGTCAATTTTGACCGAAACATCATTTTTCTATATTTTATATAAAATAAAACTATGAAACTTTCTCTTTCACAAACCATTCAAAATGTGTTTCAACATCAAATAGAACAGAAGCTAAAATGATTTTTTTTTAAAAAAAAAACATCTTTATTAGTTACATTGTCTTTTATCTGTGTCCTTTTTTGGCATTTTTCTTAAAACTAATTTTTTGATTATTTTCTTTCTTTCTAAAAGAAATGTCTTAAAATATTTTAGTTCAAATTACTTGAAATTTTGCAATTATGTTTCATACACATAATGTCTATGGCAGGGGTGTCAAACCAAAGCAAAGTAAAAATAAAATAGAAATGTGAATTAGAAACGAAACCAGCATATAAAATTATAGCACACTTTATTTATAAACTATACGGATAATTTTAAATTGTACGCTCGAAAATGTAAAATTCTAATTGACTGAAATGGAGGCCGCTTCACACAAAGCTGTCAATTAGATAGTACATATTCAGGTTTATCTTGCAACAGCGAGGTACGTTGGTTATCTTGCTACAAGGTTCTCAAACAATTCTGGGATTTGAAAGAAGAAATGAGTAAGTTTTTGCAAACTAATAATCATGATACAAACTTGTTTTCCAATCAAATATGATTGCAAGATTTATCTTTTATGGCTGATATAACCAAACACTTATCCGATTTAAATTTATTGTTACAAGGCAAGGATCAGATCATTATGAACATGTTTGACATAATTAAAGCATTCAAATGATAACTATTTCTTTGGGAAAGGCAACTGAAAAATGAGGATTTAACCCACTTCCCAACGTGCAACAAGAACAAATCTAGTTTAGATGATACTGCATCGTATCAAAAATATGCAGAAAAATTTTTTAAATCTTAGAACAGAATTTGAAACAAGGTTTAAAGATTTTAATTCTTTAGAAGACAAATTTTGTTTGTTTTCCTCGATTTTTTGAATAAATATAGACTCAGTACCCAGTTACATGCAAATGGAAGTGATTGAGATTCAGTGTCGGCAAGGTTTGAAAATACTCGAAAATTCGCATATGAAATTATTTCCATGTTTGGAAGTACTTATCAGTGAGAGCAATTATTTTCTGTTATGAATGGAAATAAATCTCCTGTCTGAAACCGTATTAATTACGCTCACGTTGGGTCAATTTTGAAAGTAGTCTCGGAGAATGAAATTTTTCCCGAAATAGAGAAGATAATAGCAAAGAAGAGATGTCAAGTATTAGGACGTAAACCATAATTTAACTTTATATATGTTTATTACAATTGAAAATAAAAATATTTGTTTTCTATGAAAATTGATTTTTTTTTTTTTGTTTTTTTGCGGCCCACCTAAAGTTAAGCATTGTTTATTTGGCCCAAGTTAGCTATTGAGTTTGACACCCCTGGTCTATGGACTAGTATAAAATATTAAATTGATAGCTGTGTATAAAACAATTATTTTTATATTTTACGGCTAAAATAAAAATAATTAAATGCAATTTCGGCCTTTATTACCAATAAAGTTTCTATATTTGTTGTAAAATATCCAAACATAAATATTATAACTGATCCTTTGTCTATTCTCTAAGTTGAATTTTTATAAGTATTATAAAGCAAAAATAATGAAAGAATAACAAATTTTAACAAAGTTAAATAATTTTGAAAAGAAAAAAAAATTAATTCTTGGTCTTTTCTGGCCTCCTTTTCTCCCATATTTCCTTGAAAAAAATTTTTTTTCCTATTTTTTTTATTTTTAATGTTTATACCATGAATATATTAAATGAGTAGTTAGGGTATCTAGTTGCAATTAAAGAATAAATACTTGTTCTGCCAAGAATAATTTGAATTTAACAATGTTTTCTTATCTAAATTAATTTATTCGAAATTAATTCGACAAACTGGTTATCTTTCTTTGCCATTCATTAATGTTGAGACTTTGATGGAAAAAAAATAACTGACTTCATTTATTCAGTAATTAAGCACATGGGACAAAAAATTAGTCACCCTTAGAGAAATCGTGAAAAACATCATTTTATAATGTTTAACACAACACCGCCTCTGAATTTGATAACAGCCTGGATTCGGTTAGGAAGGAGTTCACAAGGTTTTACAGGTACGTCCAATCCAGTTTAAGCCACACTCTGAGAATTTGATTCCTCAAATCCACCAAATTGCGAGGATGGTGATTTCTGCATTTTACCCGTTGTTCAAACATGTCCAAAAAATTTTCACTTGTTTTCAAGTCAGGTGATTTTGCAGGTCAGTCGAGTTGCAACTGAGTGTCCATAAAACCAGTTACATGTTCTTTCAGCCCGATAAACTTTGCTGATATCATCTTGAAAAATAGGAGTATCGACAGCATACTCTTCATGAAGATGTTGACTGAAAGGCAACACCTAATCATGCAAAATGTTCAAATAAACTTGTTGCTCATTTTAGAGACCACCTCAGTGAGGGGAGCCAATCCATAATAAGAAAAACACGTCCAAAACATGACAAACCCACCTCTCTCTTTTACCTGACCTCGCACACAGTAAGGATGAAATGCTTCATATGATATTCGGTGCACTCGACTTGCGTCATTTGAATAAAGGCAAAAACATGATTAATAAGACCATATTACATTCCACTAGTCAGCAATTGCTCGCGTTCGGTGTCTTCTAGTCCACTGAAGTTGCGCAACTTTGTGTGCCTGTGTGAGCAATGACTTCCTACGAGGTGTTTGAACCCAAGTGTTCATTGCATGCAGCTCCCGTCGCAATATTCTCTCACTAATAGGATGAGGTGGACCTTCATTCACTAATTGAGGTAATTCCTGTCCGGTTTGGAAACAATTTTGATTGATAAGTCGTAAAACACGTATCCGGTCCTTTTCATGCAGGCAGGGCCCGATTAACCTCAGAAAATAGGGGAAGCATAATAGGATTTTGGGGCCCCCCTAACTTGGGCAAAATAAACTTTTGATATTTTTCGCCCATAAACAATACATTTTAAAGAGANACATCGTCTTTCGTGACCACGTGTATTGAACCACTGCTTGTAGACACATTGAACAGTTCACTTCGAAACACCAACAAATCCAGTAAATTCATTCACCGTATGACCATAGGCACGGCCAAACACAATTACTCTTTTTTACCACTCTGTCATATCTTTAAACTTACCCATTGTTGCAAACTATTTCAGCTTAAAACAAAAATATCTCACTGATGACTACTTGCCTTTGATCATGTTGAGGCAGTGGACACACAGTCGAGCACGTTACTTGACCTTTGCGTCATCTAGGGTGAGTAATTTTTTGTATGTTGAGCTTAGTTTGTAATGTTAAACAATAATATTAACTTTTTATTATTATTAGTGGTATTAAATAATATTTAGTATTCTTTTACGCTTTGTCAGAATTTTGATCATTAAACGTGAAAACAATTTTAAAAAAATCTATTTGAAATAAAAAAAAGTTCTATGTTTAATATATAGTTTTTTTTTTAAAGAAAACCGATTTTTTTCTAACCACGATAAAATACCTTAATGTTTCGCCCAGAACCATTAAAATCCTTAGCACGCCCCTGCAGACTCTTGAAAAATAAATAAAACATAACTATCAATAAATAAAAATAACATTTCTTATACTTGCCATATATTTCAAATTTATAGAATATGTAAGATTAGTAAGAAATGATTGTAAATGAAAATAGACTGTGAGCTTTACTAACCATGAATGCACAGTACCAAAATAATATAGGAATAAATAAATAAATACCTAAATTATAAATCAAAAAAGATAAAAAAATAAAATAAAAATCTAATATGTTTTTTAATATATATTTTCAGAAATAAAAACATGAGATTAGCATAAAATATTTTTAAATGAAAACAGAAGGAAATATTTTCTATCATACTAACTTTGAACAACTACATCCAAAAAATACTCAATATACTTCTTCACACACGTTTCTGCACCTTGGTATCTGTTTATTGGCTCGTCTTTAAGTAAATCATTTGGCAGAAAAACAAATAAGAGGTAATATTCAGTAAAATGAGGTGCTGTAGGGAACATAATATTCCACTCATAGAAAGACAAAATAGCAATTTCCACTTGTAAAAACTCAGACAATTCATATTTTGAAGGAAGGAAAGTTTGGAATTCGCTGTACTTTGGAGGCATTTGATCTTGTTCCTCAAGTTTAGCTAAAAGGAAAAAAAGTCATAAGTATCACAATTTTTGAGAAATTAATCTACTATATTTAATCTAATTATATTTCTTTTTCATTTTGTTTTTTGAATTAAATTGAATGTTTAGTTTAAAATGTATAGTGCCAAAATTAATGTGGCAAATTTACAATAATGTTCTTGTCATCAGTCATTAAGGCAGAAGAGTTCCGATTGTCCGTGTTTTCAAGTGGCACTATGGCCAAGAATTAGACTTTTGAAACACACATATATCACACTCATTTATAGGGCGGACCCATTCATTCACCCACAGATCGTGATTTTGACCTCAACCAGAGAACGACCAATCTTCAATTCAGAGTTGAATTTGTTATGGGAGTATGGAGGACTTTGTGACCTGGCACATTTAATATACGCCAGTCACCCTTAGCTACACGGGGAGTCTTCGGTTGGCTGGATTGGAACTCCAGTTCTTACAAATGTGAGTTCAGCGCCTTGCGAAACAGGCTATCTTGGCCAATAATATATGTACTCCATGCAAGAAACTACATCCATTACCAGAGGTCTGTCCAGACATTTTGTAAAAGGTCTTGTTTTCGTAAAATAGTGAAAAAATTACTCATAATTTGCGAATATAAAAAAATGTTAAGTCCCATTCTTTCAACCAGGGTCTTGCTTTTATGAATTTGTGCAAATAAGGTCCGATTATTGTAAAAAACTTTCTCAAGGAGTTTTTAAATTGTAAATAGATACAAGATTATGCTCAGCACTGCAAAATTATAATTATATAAAAAAAATTAAATTTTCAAAAAAAAACAAAAAAAAAACAGCAATTGCTGATTCTAAATTAGAGATGCAACATACAAATATTTGGTATTTAACCTATACTGCTGAACGCAGAATATTCATTTCAGACGAATAATGGAAGAAGCGTCCGTTGAAGACAAAACTTAATTCGTTTGTATCCATATTTCTTTTTTTCCCCCTTGGGAAGGGTTTATTCGATTAACAAAACAATAATNATTAGAGATGCAACATACAAATATTTGGTATTTAGCCTATACTGCTGAACGCAGAATATTCATTTCAGACGAATAATGGAAGCACAGTCCGTCGAAGACATATATCCATATTTACTTTTTTTCCCCTTGGGAAGGGTTTATTCGATTAACAAAACAATAATGAAGATAAACAAATTTGTGAAGGTTCCGATTAAACGTAAATCATTTTATGAAGGGTCCGCTTTTAAGTTAAAATATTTTGTGAAGGGCCCGTTTTAATGAAAATATATTTGTGAAGGGTCCGTTAACGGACCCAAATTTCTTCTAAACAGACTCCTGATAACAAATTTAAAATAAAATAAAAAAACAAACAAATAAAAGGGTACTTGGACATCGTTAATCGGCACTTATTTATAGAAAATCCCTAAACAGCATTATTTTAAATGTTCGGCTGTATTGTAACTGACAAAAAGTATCTTTAATCAATGTCTCAAATGTTGATTTTGAGAAATATTTTATATCTAACTTAATCTAAAATGACACTCACAATGAGTAAATGGGCTTCAGGCTAAAGTAAGAAAAATTTGTTTAATTTTAGTATAACTATAACAGAAACTAAAAGTGGGACACAAACAATTTCCAGCTTTTTTTAGATATATTCTACACCTTTAACTTATAAGTCAACTATCCAACCATTCTATCTAAATTAATTTTGATAAAATTGCAGAAAATAACCATTCTTCACTGTTTCGTAGGATAGCCTAAACTATGTTTAATTTCCGATCATGCCATCTAAAAATTTTATTACTTACTAGTCAGGATTGATATTTTGTTTGGAAGAAACATTTCTTCCAAGACTCTAGAAGAAATTGTAAAAACTGAAAGAAAAAGGATCATATGGAAGAAACTGGACAAAATGGAAGAAACCAAAAAACTAATACACAGTTCAGCAATAACTATTATGAAAATAGTTAAAATTTAAACCAAATTCAAATACACCAGCAATATAACAGTTTTTCACATTAATCTTTAAAAAAAAATCCATTAACTTAGTATTTATGTAGGTTTCATACAGAATTAAAAAATCAAGGTATATTGTTTAGATTTGGATCGAGCTTTCAATCTTAACATTTTGATTCCAAAAATTATGCTATTTCTTCCTCTTCTTCAGCACGACAGCCCCTTACAGGCCTTGGCTGCCTCAACCACCTGTAGCCTCCAGTTCAAGGCGATTTTTTTAAAGTTGTTTATCTTTGATACTTTTAGATCTTTAGCAAGTGTCATCTAGCCATCTAGTTGGAGGTCTTCCTCTAGCCCGAGATCCCGCAGGATTTTTAAAGGTGGCGATTCAGACTGCATTATTAACTAGACCTCTCCAGATATGGCCAAGCCATCTTAATCTATTGCTTCGGATGACCTGCACTATCTTTCGCTGTCCATGGAGTCTATATAATTCAAAGTTGGAACTGATTCGCCAACAACCTCCTTCCTGTACTGGACCAAAAATATTTCTAAGTATTTTCCTTTCAAAAACACCAAGAATACTCTGAGTGTCTGCATATAGTGTCCATGTTTCACTTGCATAGAGCAATGCTGGTAGAATAAGAGTCTTATAAATTTTAAAAGCTATTTAGAATTGTGAGTTAAATATGTGATTTGTAGTTGTATATATGTTTAGCATGTTAATTAGTCAATTTAAAAAATTTACTAATATTGTAATATGGTACTTTGGGATTATATCGTCAACTATTTACGTACCTAGAGATTATCCAGTTGAGCATTTTCGCCAAACCAGATATCACCAAAAAGTAGCTTCTGTGCCAATAACAGCAAATTTTATCATATTTACTGTGTAAACCTTGACTAAACAAGTCAATTTTCTTTAGCATGTAGAAATATACTATTTTTCTTTTACACCAGTTCAAAATGATTTGATTTTGGGACTGTACAAGGATAATGACTTGTTTGCTTGCGCTTTAAAAGCTATCAAGGATCTTTGTCTGAAAAAATTAGTTATAATAATATTCATATAGTTAGATACAAGAATAATTCAACGTGTAATTATAAAAAAAAAGAGGTTTTTACTTTGTTTTGATTCTTTTTATTACACTTTTTCAATATGTATCTTTACACTTAAATTTTTTTTGTCATTAAATTTTTGATAAATTTAATGCGTTTAGAATGTTTATTTTGGAAATCGCTTTTCATTATGATGACGCCAAAGGATTTGTGTATTTTCACTAGCGTTGACAGGTCGACGGGATAATCCCAAAGTACCTTTAATACAAATACTGGCAAAAATGAAATAAAAATACCTGCAAGTATTATGCAAACGATAAGAGCTATTTCTAAATGTCCTGATAATATACGGTGGTTATCCATAAATATATCCAACAAATATGCTGCAAGATGCTGCACAGCCACGCAGTATTTTTTTTCTTCGCATATTTGTTCTAAGTATCTTATCAACTTTGTTCTATGCTCCAGCTGAACAGATAATCCTCTGAACATATATCTCTTTCTCTCCTTACATCTAAGATGTTTATGGATGTCATCAGCATAGGTATTCATTCACTATTTTTTTCTTATTATCAATAGTCAGACTTGTTTTAACTGAAAAATTTATAATGATTATTATATACTTCCTTTAATATATCAAGCATCTTAAAGCATATAAAATAAATCAAACAGAAATAATAGAACAATAAGCCTCTATAATGAAAAATCGTTGTTTACAAAAGGTAATAGTGAGTTATGAATTTTATCCTCATCTAATCATTTAATAAATATTAAATTCCAACAATTCTAGACTATTTCTTGAGGGAAAATTACATAATACTGCAGCAGAAAAGTCTCCAAGTCGTAAAACATCTGGGCAGACTTAATAAAATATCACAGAAGAACTATGATAGAAGCTATGATAGAATTATATGAGAAACTTAATAAAATATCACAGAAGGGCTAAAATTGCATAACCTGTACTAAAACTTGGAAGAGTTTTTTTTTTTTTTTTTAAATTGCAGGTTTAAAACTCATTCGGCACGTTGATAGTTGTTGTTGGCACGGCATCACAATATGGAAATATACAATATTTTTTAGGCATCTAATAGAAGATAAACAAATAAGTAATTATCTTTTTGTTATTTCAATTAATGGTGTAGTTTATAATGGAGTACCTTTTTCATTTTTTCTATTCTTTACATTTTGTAGGAAACAGAAAATAATTTAAAAAAGCGAGATTTTCAAATCTAAGAAATTATGATAAAATTCGGAAAATGAAAGATTTTATAGACAGTAAAACCTTGTGAGAGACAAACAAGTGACAGAGTTTTTCATGCACCCTATTCTTCCTTTTAACCCAAGTATTTTTCAGATTCCCCGTTTAGTTAAAGAGTTGTCTTCATTTGAAACTATACTTTAACAGTATGACAAAACATACATAAAAAAGGAATGCTATTTTGATAACTTCCAAAACAGTAGATGTAACTTAAATTCAGCACTTTATTACTTTTTAGTTAATAAAAAAATTTTAATAAATGAAGGATAATGTATTGCAACAAACATGGTATAACTATGTGGCTTTAAAATTCCGAACCAGATAAATGAGAACAAAAATCGAAACAATGTAAAGAAATTGTTGTTACCAATAATTTCTAAATTCTTTTTTTTGGAATGAAAGTCAGTTGGTAAAATAAAAAACAAAAACTACGATGTATTTCAAAAAATAAAACTTTCCAAACATCACTGAAAATTTATCAAAAAACAAGTCACAACAAATTTTCACATCGAATATGACAGGTGACAAGAGAAAAAAAAATTTATATTTCTCTTTTTGTTCAAGAATGTCACTTTTCTCGTTCGGATAAGCCTACAATTTCGTTGAATAGATTAGTCCCTGGATACGTCAGATTAAACTCGAAAAGTTCACGCAGTTGGAGTTTCATAGATAAAAGAGGAACCCGCAAGAGGAAGTGAAGGTCCTATCTTTCCGGTGGCAAAGAAAAATGGGTTACTTTTTTCAATCAGTGTGGCGACTTTTTCTATCTGTTAAATCGCCACATCGCCAGTGTTCGTGTGCATGTTTGTTGTTAATTTCACGTGCCGAAATTTTACTGCAAGGAGTAGAAATCTAATCTGTTGTGGTAAGTAAAAATTATTAATATGTTAGTTTTATACATTTATTTTTAACGAATTAAATTTTAAAACATTGCATGAATGTTAATATATTACGTTCTATAAAACGTAAACATCTTTCACGTGTTATTTTCCATTGAGAATGAATTTTATAATTCAACTTATATAGACAGAAATGCTTGTGTGTTGTACTGTTTGTCATTAAAATTAAGGTACGATGCTAAAATTTATATAATGTTTAGTTTATAATAAGGAATGTTGAAATATGAAGGTTGCATTTTTTAGGATTGCTGTATTAAGAAGATGTGGTGATTAAAGTTACAAGTATTTTAGATCTTCAAATTATCTTTATATATTTCAAGATTGATAGATGAGATTTATGTATTCAAAATAAATTAGTTAACTCTGTAAATTTTGTCTGTGTGAGAAATTTATCCTTTTTGACATTGTAATTCTTTAATGCATAGTATTTTTAATGATACTTTTTTTCTCTAGTGGTTCATGATTCATGTACAGGAAAGACTGGAAGCATCTCTATGTACCAAATACAGTTAGCTGATTGTGGCGAAGATAAACTTGGTGAAACAGTAGCTAGAGAACTGCCTATTTAGATAGTTTATTAAACTTTCTATATAGATGTTTTTAAAATGGTTATCTTTTTATTGTTTTTCCAAGCACGGTATAACAACTAAAGCTTATTTGCAAACTTAACTAGATGTTAATTACTTTCTAGGGTAAGTCGTTCATTAGATTGTAATTCTAGATTTAAGATTGTTCTAAGAAAACTTATTATTACATTAGCTGTATTTTTTACCTCTTACTGCAATTAATTTTGCATTGATGACAACAATAAAAGTTACGTGCCATTCAGACTCCCGAAACTGGTAAGTTCCCTTTTTCGAGTAAAACATTGCAGTTTTATCAAAATATTTTTAGTTTAATTTTGATCTTTAAAGATGTGAAAGTTTTCTGTAATGCAAATAAAATCAGCTTATCTTCTAGTAATTTTATATTTATATTGTCAATTATTTATAATTTCACATTTATGTGGATATATTTGTAAGCATTTGGAGTTTTCATTATTCTCCTTTTGTTAGTTGTGTACATATAATCATATCATGAAATGTAATCCAAAGTTCTGATTTTTCGTAATTATACAAAATTTAATCGGCAGTTTGGGATTAAGGTTATTGTTTCTAATTTATAAAAATTTAAGTATTGTTTTTGAAATTGCACATAATTAAATGATCAAGTCATTGATGATAATTTAAGTTCTTTATTGTAGGGTAAAAGTACAGTTTGTTAAAAGTAAAATTAATTTTGTGTATGAAATGAAAAAAGCAGGTATATTGTATCAAACATATGCATGATCTTATTGTCTGCTGTTTAAGTTATGTATTAATTTCACAGCCTGTGTATAAACTCTTATATAGCCTTTTTGGGTTGTGGGATGAAAGTTATAACAATTGTGTTTTATGAATGTTTTTAATTGTGTAAAAGCTAGTTATTGGGACATCTATCAGAACAGATGTCAGTAAGCACATTTGCATAAGTATAAGTAATTCATAATGAAGCAAACCTCATTGTCAGAAATCGGATCAAAACTTTTTTTCTTCTAAAATGTTCAATTTATTCAGAATTTTCTTTTTAAATATATTATAGTAATAGAATCTTTTAAATATATTTGATTAATTAAATGCCTATTAATATTCAAAATTATGAGTAAACGTAACACATAGAATTTCAAGTATGACATCAATTTTAACTGGAAAATATTGCAATTTTTCTATTTTGATAACTAGAAAAATCTTTAGAATTTCCTTTTGTGTCAATTATTTAGTACATTCTGCAACAGTTATGAAATTTATATTATTTCGTGAAATCTACTGGATTTTTTTCCTATCCGTGTTGTCAGCTATGATTTCGCAATTTTTCAGGGGAGAGTTTCGTCAATTTCAAATATAGTTATATAGATCCTGAGGAATCAGTCCTCAGAGAAGCCTCCTCTGGCAGCAATAACAGCAGTTAAACATGTTCTGCGTCAATGAAGGTCAGGATAGTGCGGGCCACACACGGTCATGCATTGTCCTTCTGAAAGTAGCGTTTTGGAGACCTGAAAGGTAAGGTAGAGCAACTAGCCCTAACACATCAGAAATGTAACAGCTGCTGGCTGCTGTTGTGCTTACAATGTGGCAATGCGAGCAAGAGGAGATCGAGACGTGTATCAAATGTCACCCCATAGCATTACTCCAGGTGATGGGCCAGTATGACGATATCGACTGCATGCTGCCAATGGGCGTTCTCCATGATGTCGCCAAACAAGGATGCAGACACAATGAGATTAATAAGTAAAATGAAAATTATTGTCAACAAGTCATTTAAACATTATCTGTATAAACTTACAGAAAGAATAAAGTTCAGCAGTATGAATAGAACATTAAGCATAAAAATCCTTAACAGAGATTTTCCTCGACACTGTATTCACTATGGAAACTAACCCACAGGTTTTATGAGAGCAAATCCAGGTAAGATTCCGAAATTTCTTTTCACCGTGTACGCAACTGCATGTTAGTTGGTCCCAGAGTTAACTAAATTAAATCTGAAGATTTCCTCGGTTTGAGTAACTGCAGGTGCGTATTAGGCAAATTTTTATTTGTTTATAATTTCAAAATTAACACGTTTGATGTTCAGTGAGGACAATTTATTTCTAGATGTAACTATAATTAATTTATATCAAATAAATGTTTATTAATAGAATGAAAACTAAATTTTCCTGGGTTAATATCTTCAATAGAATATATTACGCAAATTTCTCAAATTATTATTAGCAGTCATTCCTGCACTTAAATAATTTTTCAATCGGAAAAAAAAACCCGTAGATAATTCAGATTGTGCCCATAATAATAATTAAAATAATTTAATTAGCTTTTATTTATTTTTTTTTCAATGAAAAAAAAACAACCGATGCTTCAAAAAAATATTAAATTTGAAAGAGAATACAATTCATAAAATTATTATAGATCCGAATGATGTATATTGAGGTGATAGATCTTGCCCAAAAATAAAATATAGTATAGAGATGAACAGGCAAAATAATGTGCAACATTTAGATATGAAGACAGCGAATGACATTTTAAAAATTATTATACATAAAACAAAACTATTAAAAAAATAAAAACCATTATTTCACTTTATTTTTAATATATAATACTAACATAATTTAAAATATATAATAAAAATTTAAATTATGCTGAAATAAATATTATGTAATCAATACAAATCTTGATGTGAGGTAACATTTTAACTACACAATAATCTGCATCAAATAACTTTAATGACCATTTAGAATTTTATAACCATCAAACAATCAGCTGAGTATTTGGAAAAAATAGAATCATTTGAGAGAGATTGATTGCTTAATATCATATGAAGTTAAAATGCCATCTTTAATTAACATTTTTTTGGCCTGGTTACTTTATGACATCTGGGGCATATACAACTGATATATTTTTAT